TGATGTTGTTATTATTTTCGATGTTTTACATTAGTATGAGTTCCCACGGAGCACAGTGCCTTAGTGCTCACTCCCCAGTTTATTCATGTTTTTCAGGTCAGGATGTCGGGCAGGGAGCGTGACGTGACGGGGCATGACAGGACTTTGAGGATATTTATATGTGTTTTGGACTGTATAAATATACTTATGACTTACGCTTCCGCTTATCTTTTGATGACTTTTGATGATGTTTCTATGATTTTGACGAACTTTTAAGAAATTAAGTTTTCAGTAACCGAACGTTTTTATTAAATTAAAACAAAGGTTTTTCTAAAGTTAAGTAAGGATTTTTCACGGTAGCACCCCGAATCAGTTTTCGCAAAGTAAAAAGGTTTTATTTTTCAAAGACTTTGCGAATTATTGCGCTACTCTGATTTTACAGTAAGGTGAGGTGTTACAAACTATCTCATCAAGTGAAAAATGATTATGAAATTGTGGGGCTTTTAATTAAAAATAGCATAACACATTTGAAAATAGTGTATATTATTGCTCTTGAACTAATATTTGATTTTGAACATAAATAATACCTTTTTACTTGAGTATTATGTTATTTTTTATATCAAATGGTGTTGCTATTTTTATTTATATATATATTTATATTATGATGTTGTATTTTTAAAATGACTTTAAATTAAAAATAGCACAGTACACATTTGAAAATAATGACATTATTGTACTTGAACTAATATTTGATTGTTATTAAACACACCCCAAATGTTGGAAGATCATATTTTATATTCAAAATGGGAGTTTTCTAACATCCCATTATCAATTTTTTCTCAAGTCAACACCTTGAATTTCCCCATTAGAAAAAGACAAAATAAAAACTCGATTCCCACATAAACAACAAACCCAAAAAGAATCCGAGGCATCTAAAACAATTTTTTAGCTCCAATTTTCTTTTCCTCTCTACCTTTTTTCCCACTTCCTAATAAAATACTAGTAACAAAAAATAATAATAAATTTTCAACCATAGACAAGTACATCACTACAACCACAGAACCCCTTAAAACAAAAAATATGCATTCTTTCATCACGGTGCATCTCCCCTTCACAAATTTCCAGCCGAAATTCACAGCCTCAATTTCATACATACATTACAATCACAAATTCTCAAATTTCAACTTCAAATGCCCCCAAATTAACATATTTTCAGCCTCAAATTCATATTTTTAAGCCGAAATATTTCAGTCACAACCTCACCATCGAGATTCGGTTCATTTAAGTCACAAAATTAACATATTCATAGAGGGCCGGATTGAATTGAAGGTACCTGAAGGCTGAAACAGGCGAGAGACGAGAGACGAGAGCCGAGCGAGAGATGAGAGACGAGAGTCAGGCAAGAAACAAGAGATGTGGACGCTGCGAAATTCCTT